TCGTCCTTGGTCCTGCTTTCTTCGGTGAAATTGTGCATATTAAATACAAAACAGTGAGGAAAATGAGGAAAACAAAACAAAAACCCAAATAACAGCAGCCCAGAATAAGAGGAAATCTTTGTAAAAGCAAAAAAAAAAAAAAAAAAAAAAAAAAATACTAAATTCAAAAAAATTTCTTAAAGATTCTTTAAAATTAAATAAAATATAATTATAAAAATTATATAAATTTTCTTTGTATTCTCCTTAAACTGTTTAAATATTCTCAATAAGAAGAAATTTCTAAAAGATCCTTTAAGGATGTGTCGAATTTAATTTGAAATTGTTTTAAACATGTTTTAACTTGTTAAATTCTCTAAAAAAAAAACAATATACTTAAAAAAAAAATTAAACAAAAATATACGAATTTATTCAAAAGTGAGCAGTTTTTTTTTTTTAAGTTGACCTAAAATGGTCTAAAAATTATTCATATATAATTTTTAAAAATATAAATAAATATATATAATTTTTTTTAAATATATAAATTTTTATATTATTTTTATTATATGTAAATATATATGTTTACGTATATATTGATTGTTAATTTATATTTTTAAATTTTTTTTTTTTTAATTAAATAACCTTTGCCCTTTTTTTTGCAAGTGTATGGGAAAATATGCAAAAAAGGAGGACACAATTTGCGTGTTTTGATTTGACAAAGGTTTGCGGAGTCCTATGGCCTGAAAGCCAGCTTTGGGATGGAAATGGAAAAGGCGAAAGCGGAAAATGGAGAAGGCGAAGGGATACACCGAACCGAGTCCCAATCTGGAACCGAATCGGAGAGGCCCAAGACTCAGGAACCAAAACCAAACCAAAAACCGGAACTCGAACCGAATGGGATTCGTGCAGGTTCTTTGCAGGTTTTCCATTATTTTTTCTTTTTGTTTTGTCTTTTGTTTTTGAGGCTGAAACTCTTCTGGGATGGGAGTGGGTTTTTTTTTTTTTACGTTACCCGGGGGCTCTTGCGGTGGCTTGGGGGGGCCGACATTGAGGCATTTATACTAATTTGTCGATAATTTCGTTGAGCTCGTAAAATGTTCGCTTATGTTCATGGGACACAAAGTGGCCAGAAGGCAAGCAAGGAGTTTGGGAATTGAGGGATTCTAGGGCACTAATAGACATTTTATCGATTGCCAGGCAGCACAATTATATTTGATGAGCTTTTAATTGAATTGATTTACTTTCACTTTACCATATATAAATAGCAGCCAGGGCAAGGTCGCAGGAGCCGCAGGAGCCGCAGGACATGCAATGTGCCCTAGATAGGCTATCCAGATAGTCTAGGGTTAATACAACCCAAAACTCAAGCCTAAACAATAACAAAAACAAAGAAAAACAAACGCACAAGTACTGACATTAATAAGTAAATTTCAGTGTCACGCACTTAATTTCAATTGAAAAATTATTGAATCACCTAATAATGGTAAAATTTTGCAAAGTAAACTTAAGTATTTATAAAATATAATATTAAATAAACTCTTAAACATAAACTTAACCATCTACTTACTCAAGATTCATTTATTGAATCACTACTGAAATTCAGCCACAGAAAAAGATAAAAGCTCTCTTAACAATTTTAGTGGAAATAAAAATGATATCATAGGTCTATATATCGGATAGAACAAAGTGCTATCAAGTTACGAATTGGAGCAGAGAGCTCAGCCAATTGTCAGGGACAGAGGCCGAAAAAGAAAACTTTGCCAAGTTATATACTCAGAAATAAGAAATATATACAAATATATGTAAAATATATACTTGCATATCTGGCTTTAGCAGGACGAGTTCACCTCACCTCATCTCATCTCATTTCTCTCTCTCTCTCTCTCTCTCGGCGCTGCTGATGGAAATGCCAACAGCAGTCGGAGTTTTCCATCAGTAAAAGTTTTCATGAAAAAGTTGTAATTCCTTGCACGCCGCCGTCTTTGGTTTTTCCGAAAAAAAAAGAGGAGAAAACTTTTCTCTAGCTGCCAGTGACTGGTTGCATTCAAAAACCAAGTTTTCTTTTAGTTTTCCCATTTTCGCATTTTTGTATTTTTCTATTTACACTTTATAAATATTAAAAATAAAGGTATTTAAAAATAGTATTTTAATATTAATTAATTCCTTGGCATTTATCTAAATTATGTCTTTTATTTGTGGGTTGTTCATTCATTCATCCATTAATTTACATATTCACCTGTCCGTTCATTCGTTTACTTGTACGTTCATTTCTACGTTTATTATTACCGTTCATTGTCATTTCATTTCTCCTTTTATAGGTCTTTGATTTGCTTACTATTTATAGAAGATCTGTAGAATATTTCCAAATTATTTTATTTTGTATTTATACCTTTAATTTCATTGTAAAAATATTGAAAATATTTCCAGTTTATCTCTGATTTCGTTTAATTTTTTATGTTTTAATGTTTTTTTTGTTTTTGTTTGGTACACTCATAAAATTTTTGCCCTAAGTATAAGTATACTAAAATAAAAACTGCATTTTTCTTACATTTATAAAGATTATTTCCTAGTTTTAGGGCTATTTGACAATTTTTATGGAAAATGTATCAGCAAAGCAAGTGAAATTCACCTTTATATTAAGAAAGAAACTAAAGGAAACAAATAATTCAATTAAATATAGAAAAATATTTTCACAAGTGTACCCTTTCGCTTTTCTCTGTTTTTACTTTCTCCTTCCTGTCCTGCCATTCTCTTTCCCTTATTCGCCATCACTTTCGGCACCTTTTTTGTCCTGAAAATGCAGCTTTAGTTGTAAGCTGCGAGCATAATTTCATTTTAATACTTTTTAAGCGCATTAATTACAGACACACACACACACACAGGGAGAAAAAAAATACATATATATATACAAAATGTATAAGGGAATGGAGGAGCGAAACAATTGCATTGTCAAACCTTCCAACCTCTCGCTCAGTTTAAGTGGATAATATAGGAGGTAATAACATCAAATGAATTGTGAGAACGCTCTCGGGAATTCCCCTCCTTTTTTTAAATCTTTTTTTTTTTGTTTTGTGAGAATGAAAATAAAAAATAAATATATGCATATATATTTGCATATATATTTGTGTTTATTCAATTTGTAAGCTTTATTGTCAACGTCGTTAGTACTCGTTTCCCAGGGACTTGCATACATCTCGTATGTCTACATTACGTATACGCCCCATATAACCTGGCCATTGAGGTAGCGGAAAATCTCATGATGAAAAGGGAGAGTAACAAAACTGAAAAAGGGATTTCCTTCAAGAGCAAAGGCCTTGAGGCGAGTGAAAAAAATATATATAAATATATATAAATTGGCCATTGTTGCAAGTGCACCCATGTGAGTTTCTTGGAAAGTAAATACAAATGTATTATTAAGGGCTTTAAAAATATGAAAATTATTTATTTTGTAACGTTTAACTTCATTAATAAATAAATTAGTTAAACAATAAGCTCAATATATATTAAATAAATATATTATTAGGGCTTTAGAAATATGAAAATTAATATAAATGCTACCGTCTTTATTTGATATTTTACTTTTTTGTTACGTTTAATTTAATTTAATAAATAAATAAATTACTAAAACAAATAGGCATTAACAAAATATATAATTATATTTTTGTAGATTTCTATTTCTTAGAATTTCACGTAAATTCGATTTCAGGTTAAGGTTAATCAATTTCTTTTTCCAAGAACCAACTTGAAATATTGCCAAAATGGAAAGGTCACTTACTACAGATGATAAGGAATTTGTTTCTTTCTTTATTTCTTTTCAATAGAGAGACTATTCAGATGAAGACTGTAATGACTCTGAGTATGATGAAGAATATTGAATATTAAGGAAGAAGGAATATGAATAGAATTCCAGTTGAAGAAGCTTACACAAAAACATAACACATCTTTGAATTTAGAAGAACAAAAAAAAAATATATTTAGAAACCAGTCACACCTTCTATCCATCAAACTATCGGGCTTTTGTTCAGTTGAAAAGTCACTGGAAAATGGGAAACCGTAGCAGCTGCTGGCCGAAACGTGTCAATGCCATAAATTTGGGCCAATCCATGGAGTGCAGCAGGCAGCGTGTATTTACGACCAGCTCTCTCCTCCAATTGCACTAATTAACTGAGTGGAAATGAGACGGGGTGGCCTGGGTTCGATAGCTAGACGACAACATCATGCACATCCCATTCTCCTTGCAGGACATGGGTCAACCTTCACCTGAATGGACAAACAGTGACGCCATTGCGACATCCGACACCAGAAACATTTTGCAATCGAGAGGCAGCTAGGGGATAATGCACTAAAGCAAAAAAAAAAAAAAAAAAAAAAAAAAAAAAAAAAATTTAAGGAAAAAAAAAACGAATTTCCCACGAAAAACAAACAAGTATTTATTCAATTTTTTTTTTTTTTTTTTCCTTTTTAATTTCTGTACAACTTTCTCTCAGTGTGACCTCCCTGAGCACACCTCCTCTTTGATTAGCCATGTGTTTTTGAGTGCATCCGAGCTGTGGGTGGGGTGGGGAAAAGCAGCTGAGGAAAAGCAGAAAACAGGAACACGCAGGTGCTGGAGGTACTAGAGGTGCTGGCGGTGCTGGTGGTATTGCATTACGTATACGTAATCAGCTTAGTTGCTGTCGCTTAATCAAATAATCATTGCCTGCTCCTGGGTCAAAGGGGGGCGCTAGGAAATCGAGGCAACAAGAGGTGGTTACCTCCCAGCAATTACAGGCTGTCCAGGGATTGGTCCTTCGGTAAGTCAGTCAGTCAGTCATTCAAGTTAGTCAGTCCATTTGCCAGTGACAATTGAGCGATTAGTGGGTGGAGTGTTGGGACTTGGGGGGCTAGGAAACCAATATACAGGACATATATGTACATATGTATATAGGTGCCGAAATGGGTCACGGCCAAATTGGATTGTGTCATGTTGCATTAGCGTTAATGTGAATGAGCTTCAAGTGACCCGACCCTGATATAAGCAGGCTTTGCTTACAAATTCTAAAAAAAAAAATAGTATAACTAAACTAACCGAATCCAACGAAATTCCAAATTCTTTCAAACAGTTGTAGTAAAATTTTCCATAAAAATGTCTTTGGAACCAATTGAAAATTTGGAGAATACTTTCACCGACACCTCAGTCATGGTTCGTGATTTGGTGGAAGAGTCTCTCAAGGATATGAAGAACGAGAATATCAAGAATAGTACCGAAACTGAACTAAATCTCGAGTTACGCAGGAATATTGTCCAAGGTGTGCATCAGCGTCTGGAGGAGGAGAAGCAACATCTTTTGAGGTTGCTGAATGAGGTTCTCGAAATCAAAGATCAATTGAGTGCCTTTCAAATGCGCAAAGAGAAAATGTTTGAGGATCTCAAATTCATAAAAATGCTAATGCTGGAGGCTAACAATCGATTGAAGGATTTGAAGAAGAATGATTCCGATTTGAAGAAGAACGAGGCTTATTCTTTTCCATAAAAACCATGGTAAATTCTCCGTAAGAATCTCAGGGTTTACCCAAGTATGCACATATAATTCCCAACTGGTTCTAACATCCACAGAATGAAATGGCAGTGCCCGGCTTTATGTGGATTCTGTTTGTGCTACTTACAAACTAAACTGAATGCTGCTAAATCTAAAAAAAATATTCTTTAAAAACCGTAATCCTTAAAAAAGGATAAAAAATTGATAAACAACAACAAGAATCAATAAAACAACAAAATGTAGAAAAAACAGAAAGCAACTACTTGCAACTTGAACTTGTCTCCTATGACTCTTGATTCCTGGATTTTCTTTATTAATTTTTTCTGGGAATCTGTTTTAGCCAGCTCTGCTGCTCCTGGCTTTGTCAGACGCATTTTACTGGGAATTCGATTGCAGTCACTTTGGCCAACTTGTCTCTGTTTGAATGCCTATTTATAGCCTGTCATTTGAATGGCATTCCGGGCGGGCGTTGTGGGCCCACGCATTATTTACTACAGCGGTACAGTTAAAGACATACATATATGTATATACTATTGATGTGTGGCATCGTAAACACGTGCGGACATTTTGTTTAGTTAGTTCGAGTTTCTAGCTGCCTGTGTGTGCGTGTGTGTTTGTATCGTAATTACATAATGATTTATTTTCGCATTTCGATTCGTTCGGCCGTGTGCGTTTTTGATTTATTTACATTGAGTGCGAGGTCATCACAGCATCATCATTCGATTATTTAATAGCAAAAAGAAATGGAAGATAAAACCAAAAGGATATCTTACATCAATATCTCTACTAATTTATTCAATAGAAAAAAAAAAAGTGAAATAGTTAAAGATTTCATTCGATTTAATAGATTTTCGATCCAAGGCTCTTCCTTTAATCTGCCACATCTTTAGTGGTATTGAAATTAAATTGATTTATTTATTAGCTGCCTGTTATTTGTTTATAAACAATAAAAGCCAAAGAATGCGCATTTGAGGTTTATATGAACATTTCAAGCGCCCAAAAAAAAAAAAAAAAAAAAAAAAAGAAGCGAAAGCAAAGCAGCGCCGCCAAAACAATAAAACAACAATTATTTTTATGGCAAATATTTATCTAACAGTGGATGGGTGGGGTGGCCTTTGGCTTTGGTTTTCGGTTTTTTTTTTTCGGCAAACAAAGCAATCGAAGGTTGCCTTAATGCTGAAATATTAATGTGCCTTAATTGCCCCACACAATAAAAGTAAAAGAAACGGATTAACCTTCAGTATTGAAATTTAATTTTATACCCTAACCCCCCTACTTTAATTATTTTCCACTTTATTATTATTAGTTGCTTAAATATAGAGCCCTGGGATTTGTGACATCTGGCTATAGGGAGGAAAGTGCTATAACACTTTCCTGGAACTCAAAAGCTGTAACTATCAAAGTGCCAATTAAAATCAGGGTTTGGTGTGGGATAGGCGACATCTGGAAATTCCAGAGCTGACTTTGAGTAACATACCTACCCAGCAGACAAAAACGTTCGTTTATGATATTGAAAACGATAGTTTTGCGGAGAAAATGTCAGATTCAGGCTCATAAATGATAATAAAGTTGGGTTTTGTGGCAGAAAATGTTATAATTTATGGAATTCCGGAAAAGATATCGATTGCGGAACTTTTACGATGTCATTATCGGGTTTAATAAGAGAAATCACGATATTCGTCCGCAATTTGTCAGTTTACCCCTCCGTTTTTGAGCATTTAGCGAAACTAATGCGGAAAATCCGAATCTTTGTTCGTCTTTAATATTTTTAGCAGACATTTTTGTCTACTGGGTTGCTGCAAGCCAATTTAGTGCCATTCACATGCATCAACTTTTGGCCAACTTCTCAGGGTCGTAGGTTAAGATACTTTTCAATAAAGTTTTAACCAAGGGAATGCTACTTAAGGCTAAAGGGTTTCTAAAAGGAATTATAAACCAAACTAGGACTTGGGAAAGTTAGCTTTTACCCTTTGTTATCCTTAGAAATCTATATATCAAAAGTCTGCTATTTATGTTTAATATTTTATTACTTTTTACAAGTTCCTGTGGCTCAAACTATATTTTTTCTTTCATCAAGCTCAAAGTTATGCTAGTTTCTTTTCTTTATAATTATTAACATTTTAAAGTACTTTTTTTTACTAGAAATTTTATAATGAAACCAATTAGTATTACCAAAAAAAATCAATTCCCTTAATTAAAGACTAAGAATCAAAAATCGTAATCACAAACAAAATCTCCGCCAATAGAAAATTCAATTGAATTGTTGCAGCTTAGATATATATATGTATGTATATCAAATTGATGGACAAATACTTGAATATTGTGTATATAGTACATATATATCTACGGGTACACAGAATCGCGTTTGAGTTCATTTGTTCTGGGCTCGTAGATTACGCATTTTGTTTATTATTTTGATGAAGTGATGTTGGTGGTGCTGGTGCTGCTATTGTTCTCGGTGCCCTATTATTGTTATTGTTAATTTATTTTTACCTATTCGGCCATTGAAAAATTAAGCAATTGCCAAGGCAACTGGCGTTGAAGTTAAAAGCATCGAATTACAATCATTTGATTTCAGAATCAACAATCATTGTGTAATTAGTATATAAATAAGAATTATTTACAATATAATCTTAGAAGAAAATTCTAAACCTTATATTTAATGATCATTAAATTTTAAAATAATTATATATATATTATTAAAGGTATTTTTACGAGAAATAATATAGAAAAAAAATTCTACACCTCAAATTTAATGAAAATTTAATTTTTGAATATTTATACAAACAAGAAATATATATTTTTTGCTCTCAGTTATTTCATTTTTCAACAAAATACCAAAAATGTTAAAGAGAAACCCTGAAAATAAGTAAATATAATCAAATTTGGAGTTAATGAGCGACCCGGAAATCATTTTCAGCACCATCAACAGGGATTCCTGCAGAATCCAATGGCCGGAGGGGGGCGGGTAAAAACCAAAACAGAACCATAACAGTAACATAAATTCAGCGGAGAATGGAGGAGAGTTTCAGGGCAGCTGCTTTCAGCCAACAGGACAACGAACTTTCCGGGAAGAGGATAAAAAAAACTGGTAGGGAGAAGACCAAACGGCAAACAGAGAAAGCATCAAAATATTTTGGCTTGGTCAATATTAAGTTGAAAATGAATGCCAAGCCTCCGTTTTGCCGGCCACCTCGCCCCTTAATAGCCAGCACAATGGTGTTAGCTTTGTTCAGCGCAAAAAAAAAAAGAAAGAGAAAAATATATAAAGAAAAACTAGAGAGAAGCGGAAAAGTTTCCACAAAGCATACAACAAAGCAATCATCAATTTGAAATGCTCAAGTGACGAAGAACTTACTCCTGCCAAAAATTATATATATGTATATATATGTAGGGAGATATGTATGTCTCAGTAGTTCGCATTCTAGTTCAATGAACCTTTTGAAATAATAAATTATTGAGTAGTGGTCGCAGCAGAGAAGCGCCTAAGATATAGTTTTTTATTGGCAAATGGAAATAATATGACCAAAAGGCATTAAGAAGGCATATAAAGAAATCAAGGGGTGTTGAAATGGTGAACTTAGGCGGAAATTAATTAATAAAATCAAAAATCAAGAAAAGAAATACGACGAATCTAGAGAAAAAATCGGAAAGAATTTTTTCAGAGAAAAGAATTCTGAGGGATGAGAAATTAAGAATGCAAATATGTATATATTTTATTATAAATACATTTATTAATCAATATATAAATAGTTTAAAAATAAATAAATAAATAAATAATTAAAAAAAATAATAATAATAAACAAATAATTTAAAATTTAAAATATTATCACTGACAAATTTAGCAAATAAATTCCCATCCAATATATTACAGTTAATGTATGCAAATATTGCAGATGAGCACACAAAATACACATAATTATTGCAGAAAATATTTCCATTAAATGTATAGAAGAGCAATTTAAATCACATATTACTACAAGGCTTCAGCATTCTAAAATAATTTTTATAAATATTTAAAATAATCCAAAAGGACAATGAGCCTAAGAGCAACGAAAACCAACTTTTAAAGCTCAATAAATAATTTGGCATTTCAATAATTAAATAATGTATTTAAAATTAATGCAAAGTCGAAAGCCTGCGAAAACTATTTAAAACGATACAATAATTTGCCGCTCAAGACGAAGGCAAGTCAGAGGGGCATGTATTTGTCGGGGAATCCTGGTGAGAATCCAGGGGAAACCAATGACAAATAATTAATTGCGCACACAGCAGCTCCCTCCGTCTGTCAGTCTGATTATAGACGTGTGTGTGTGTGTGCACTGAAATATGTCTGATGTGCGACGGGCGCATTGGCAAGGTTGTGTGATGGCTCCAATGGCCTGGGTGTTATCGAAGCTCCTCTGCCTGGCACCAATTAACTTGGGCGTATTGTGTAAATAATGTGTTAGACATGGTTACACATTCATGCCGGCCATAGACACGTCGTTCGCATCGTCATCTTAGGGACACCGAGATGCCGCCCTCGGATACTGGATACTGCCTCCTAGCTCCTTGCTCACTGGTTACTGAATCCTCATTCTCTATCCCGGATCTCCGCGAGCCCCGGCAATAGGATTTTGATTGCACTTGGAGCTGCTTTAATTGAAGACCGAGACGGGAGACGGGAGACAGGACGCAGGCAAAGACCTGCGACACCAAGTGGCCGCCCCGTGATGGGACTGTTGACATTGATCCCATCCATAGCACTCTCCCCTTACCCATTTCCATTTCCAATCCCTTTCTGCGATGCTCAACTGAACTGAACCGATGCCGATGGCATTGCTGTAGCCGCCGCCTGAGCTGCTTGTTGGTAATTGCCATCAAATCGAGGGATAAAAAGCCGAAAAAAAATAAAGAAACAAGTAAGAAAAGGCTACAATGGGCTACACTGTTCAAAAAGCAAAAGGTTTAGCTTGGTCCAGCAATTAGTATTAAAAATAACACTAATTTTTAAAGCTTAAAATCACAAAATATATAAACAAAAAAAGATTTTTAAAACATAAAAAGGCATTAAATTCAAAAGGAAATGTCACTTAGAAAAAGTATGACCAATTTTATTTATTTATTTTAATGATTTTTTTATTATTTTTTAAATTTGATTTATTATTTAATATTAATTTACTAGTAAATATTTTTATTAATGTGTAATATTGTATTTTGTTACTTAAACTTAAAAACTTTTACAATATTGTAAAAGTGTGCCCAAATAAGAAGATAAAAACTAAACAAAGCATTTAAATATTGCATTATTTATAGGAAAAATTTGTATATATACTAAAAACCATTGAAAAAAAAACCACAAACAAAATTGTAAATAAATTTTGTAGTTTTCCTAAACTTCCCCTTTAAAATGTAAATAAAATCCATAAAAAACCATTGTGTGGCTTTGTAAAAATGTTAATTACAACACATAAATCAATTGGTCTTTTTTTAAACAATTGATCTCAATTTATACAAGCTTTATGGAAAGTTTTCTTTAATCCCAAAGCATAAAACTATACAAATTTCCACATAGAATGGAATGGCATAGAATTGTTTTTCGCCAAGTGTATAGGAGAAGCCAAGTGGTGTCCTTCTCGTCATGGACTGACTTGTGCGCCATGCATGTGACGGCAGCTCAGCAGGATATTTTGTAAATCATTAGTCAACAAAATGGTGTGTCTGTGTGTGCTTGTGTGTGTGTGTCTGGGTGTGTGACGCCATTATTCTCTTCTTGCCCTCATTTTCCCCGTGCACCCATTGTGAAGAAAAGCAAAGAAGGAGGAGGAGGATGAGATGGTGGTGGGGGGATCCTTTCATGGATGCCACACATTCCTGGCCTGATGAGATGCGCCGCCTGCGCAAGATTGCCCCGAGTTCGCAGTCGAGTGCAGTCTGTCCACCGATGTCATCAGCATTACGTGGAGGTGGCATCTGGCTTGGATGGATAGATGGAGGCACTTGTTACCACCACTCCAGCGAGAACCATTAGGCCCATCAAAGTTGATCTAGGCTGATCGATATGAATTTTATGGGAAAACCATCTGTTTACCAAGGCCTTAACATGGAATTTTAAAGATATTTTCAAAAGATAAACCTGAAATAGGGCTACCAGAACCTGTTTAAGCCCTTTTGCCTGCCTTAATATCAGCTTAATTTAAGCCAAGTGTTGCTGGCAAAAGAAAAACTTGAATTGTTAAGTGAAAAAAAAATTAAATCAAAGAAATATTTTCCCTACAAGATGTAAGAATTTATATTATGACTTTAAATATATTTTATTTTTCTCTACAATTAAGCTCCTTTAATTGTAGAATAATATCATTCTTAACAAGCCCCAGTCCTATATAAAAAATGGTATAAAAAGTTTATTTAAAAAGGCTTTTACAAGGCAATTATGTGCGGTAAATATCAAAAAGGTTTTAAACCAAAGCGATCCAGGCATAAACCGTAATTTGTGAACCGCAAATAAAAGGACGATTGTTTAAAGGATTATAAAAACCGAATATATAAGAAAAGTGGATTGTAAAAATTAAAGTTTTTCAGTGCACAAAACTGCGCTTGCTGGGAATATTCAGTCACGGGGAAAGTTGGCTCAAGAGGAATGGTATATGTATGGGGATGGGGATGGGGAGGTGGGGTAAATGGGAAGGTCAAGGGGCAGGGGCTGGGGGCTAGGGGTTTGTGGAACTTTTTGGAACTGGCCAAGTGTGAGTGTTGCTTGGTTTGGTGGCGCGGCTAATGACGCCAACATTAGGCGAACGTTTAATGTATGTGCACGTAGCCAGGTCCATTCCACACACACATACACACACACACACACTCTCTCTATAGTCCTGTCTTCTCTCTCTAGTCACACACATGCACAGCAGCGGTCAATACAATAAGAAGCAAGAAAGTTTAAAAAAATATATATTAAAAATACAAAAAAATATATATTAAAACTAGGCTTCAGTTGCTTTAACTTTTTGATCATATACTTAAGAAATTATTAATAATATTTGTATAAAATAAATATTTAAAAAATTTAACTTGTATAATTATTTATTATGTTATTTTTAATATTATTATTTATGATATTATATTATAAAGTGCTATAATTTGTTTGTATATTTATAAAATAAATAAATTCAAGAGATAATTTCACACAAGAATATATTTTTAAGTTGAACAATTATTTGATATTTAATTTATTTAATATTTAATTTATTTAATATTTAATTTATTTAATATTTAATTTATTTAATATTTAATTTATTTAATATGTAATTTATTTATTATTTAATTTATTTAATATTTAATTTATTAAATATATTATAAAAAACTATTTAAAACTATAGCTATTTTTGTGATTGCAACTGTAAATACGCACGAAAGTCAAGGCAGACAACGTCAGATGCTCGAGAGCATTACATAAGCGACGCAAAACTGTATGCTACACTTTTTGATGGCCACCCATCCATCTGTGTGTGTGTGTGTGTGCGTTATTTCTGGCCATGGAAAGCGTCGAGGAGACGAACATGGAGGAACGGAAAAGGGAAAAGGACAGCAGTGGTTGAGGGTCGACAAGGATACGCACGGCACGCCACTCAAAAGCCATAAGCCCGGCAAATTAACATGCCCAAATTATGACAAAAGGAAAACGAGGCTAAAACAAAGGCCCCAGCCAAAAGCAAAAACTAAGGGTGTGCAGGCGCAGAGGGAGGGTTTGCCTGGCTTGGGTTTTTTTGTTTCCGCTGTGGACCGGAAAAGGCCAAAGCGAGATTACCCACAAAAAAAAAAAAAAAAAAAAGAAGCCAAACTTTGGCGTTAACAGCATTTTCGATTCAAGTTCAATTTAAATGCCCAATAAATAAAAATAACCCTTTTTTTTATTTAAGTTTCGCAACAGAAACACAAACAAAATTGGTTGGTTTTGGTTTTTTTTTTTTATATTTAAAATTTAAAAAACAATAAAGAAAATTTCATAAATAAAAAAAAGGCCAAGAAAAGGTATATAAGGCAAACAAAATCAATTTAAGCCAGGTTTTTATTTAAAAAAAAATATCTAAAATACAAAACAAAAAAAATAAAGAAAATTCCTTAAATAAAGAAATAAGATCAAGAAAAAGAAGATAAAGCAAACAAAATAAATCTAAAGGTTTTGACTTTTTAAAAAATATCTACAAAAAAATAAAGAAAATTCCATAAACAAGAACAACAACAAACTATACTAGATTACTTTAAAAAGAGTTTTGGAACTATAGCAACAATTCCTTGACTTGTACCCTCACTAAAATCAGTTTAGCCCCTAAAAGCATCATCTACTACTGCTTCTACGGCTTCTTCTTCTGCTGATTTGTTGAACTTTTGAGTTTTGTGCCACAAGTGCAGATTACTCATACGCCCCGTTAAGCGTAACCAAAAACTAAAGCTGACTCAACCCACAGACACAACAGACACAAACAGTGCTCCGCGCCACACAACACATACTGTAAACTGTCATAATCAGGGATGCGGACACCATGGCGGCCAAAACGAAACATCAACTGGGAACATAAAAACAGACAGCAGCGGTGGGGGGGTAAACCTAAATCCTGGAAACCAGGATACCCAAAAAACCAGAGCCTTAAAAAGGTACAGGAACCGCAGTCGCCGTAGTCATAGTTTAATATCCATTTAACATGCTTCGTGTTGTTGTTGTTGCTTTTGCTTTTCACTGAGAGAAATTCAACAGAAGCTAAACAATCCTTTTATATATATATACTTACAAATCCCCCCTGGTTTTTGTAGCAGTGGAGTGTGTGTGTGTGCGGGGGAAATTCCCAAAGTGATTATATTAATACAACATGAGCCACAAGTGTGTTGCATACATTGAGGCGTGCCGACTTGAGCCAAACGAATCCATGACAAAACTTTTGCCCCATTGTATGTGTGTGGGTATGTGAATATATATATATATATATGTGTATATATATATATGCCCTATTCATGGCATATGAAATATACATAAAGCCAACGAAGCCAACGAACCAACTCTAATAATAATAAAATAATAAAAAGCAAAACAAACTTTTCACCATACTCAAAAGTTGTGGGCGGCAGAAACTAACCAAGAAACTAAAACTAAACATGTATATATGTATATATATTCTGGATATTATGCCAGCCACAATCAGTTCCTTGTTTAAAAATCGAGAAAAGTTTTGAGGGAAAAACTAAACCCTTAAAACTAGCAACTTCCTAGCACAAATATTTTTAATATTTAGTTATTTATACTTAAAAGTTAAACAAAATAATCTGAATGCAAAAACTCACCATAAACATTGGTTTAAAATTATCAAAAGACGCACGATATGCTGTGATCTGTAAAGGGAAAATTCAAAATATTAAATAATTTATTTATTTATTTTTATAAAGATTTAAATTCTTGTTAAAATATTTATATTTATCTTAAAATATTTATATTCATCTTAAAATATTTATATTCATTTTAAAATATTTATATCCATCTTAAAGTATTTATATATATTTAATAAGTAAGTAAAAGTAAATATATTCAACTTTCTTCAAGAGTTTTTCTTTCCTGTTGCATTTTGAAAGCAAGTGAAGGTCATCCTGAGTTGCATATTTCAACGATGCCACATCCTTTTACACCACACACATACACACCTAAGCTTACCTGTGTCTAATGAACTAAATTTACATTTTCTCTCGTTTTTTCCTCTGCTTTTTGGCCAAAGTTTTTTTTTTATTGCACTGGGGAAAATTAGCTTAAATTGCTGACAACCATAAAAAGCATTCATGAATTTAAAGGTGTTTTTTATGCCACCGATAATTCCAAAGGATAACTGGCTTTCTACTATTAATCCTTGCGAGGGACAAAAGCAAAACAAAAGCATTTCCCAGAAACATGGTTTATTTTCTATATAAAAAGTGTACAAAAGGTGCAAAGCAAAGGCAATTAATGCATTCCAGCTTTAAAAAAAAGGCTTATTCTAGTACAAAATGCAGCTGTTGCCATAAATAAACTTTAGAGGAAAATAAAAAAATGCAAACTTAGCTTTTCTTAAAAACTAAAAGCATTTTCATATATTTTCTATAGCTTAGCTTAGCTTAACTTTTTAATTTATTGAAATAAATATAATATTATCAGCTTTCTGAGCCTCCTTTTAACTCAAATTTAGCTATAATTGTTTTTTTGTTATGCCTTTAAAATGTATGATTTGCAGTGTATTAAACTGTCTGCTAGTATTTGTCTTTTTCTGCTTCAACTGCCTCCAAAATCATCCTCCGCATCCACTACTCCCATTGCCTTGCCCTTGCTCCTGCCTTGCTTTGGTAAAAATCATAAAAAAAAAACATAAAACTTTGAGAAGCCGAACTTTGAATACCCTTGAAAGTTGCAATTTTAATCACAAAAGTAACTTAAAAAAATATATAAAATATATTTTATATAAAAACAATAGATTTATAATATTTTCCATGAATTTTTCTGACACTAGAAACCATAATTTATATATGGTTATTTCAGTTGGAAAGAGGTCTATATTCCTTCCAACTGAAATAACCATACCCCAATCGGTTAGGGTATTAAAAGGCGGCAACAGAAGCTCAGCTGGCTAAGGAAGCTCCCTGCTCGCTGTTTATCTCGCTCGCTGTGCACATTAACCTCTTTGTTAATCATTTACAAACAAATGCAAATAAAATAAAATACAGCAGCCAAGGTAGCAGCAGCAGCAGCAGCAGCACAGGTAACAAAAACAGTGAAAGACGACGGACGTTCGTTGGCGGCTATGCAAATATAAAAAAAAAAGCAGGCAAATGAGCAGCGAAATTGCAAAAAGGTCGGGCGGCAGGCGGCCGTAAATAGGGGGCGGTGGGTGGGAGAACTTAGAGGGGGTGGGGAGAGCGCGGGAGGAGGATAAGCTCTCGAGCTTTACGGCATACACAAAAATACGGAGGCGCATCCGCCACGCCCATTCAAGATTTGCACCAGTTACGTAGATTTTCCTGCCAGTTTTCCGCTTTTCTCCTGGCCATTCCAGAATTCATCTCAAAATCGCTAAATAATTCAAGGAAACTTTTGTGACTCTTCTTTGGGAGGGGGGTGCTTTTTTTCAACTGCAAATTGCATTTTGGCCTGGTCGAAAAAGCCAACTCCCGGTGTTGACTTTTCTCGAAAAACTTTTAATCAACGAACCGGGGTGGTTGGCTTTTGAAAAGGGGTTTTCCATCGGAGGAGCGTTCCAATTTTCCCAACTGCTTTCATATGCAAAAGATACTTGACTTTATGCGGCTGTTCTCAGGCAGCTTCATAATTAGTTTGATGATGTTTGCAGTTGAGTCCTTACTCATTTATATAGTATATAATATATATATATATAATATATATAAGCATCTCCTAACCACTGATTTTGACCTGGGTTGCCTTTGGTTTTTGGCTTAGTGCGTTGCCAAGGCTCTGAAATTCATTCATTTTGTTGGCCCTAATGATATTTTAATTAAAACTATGCCGCATTTGTTGTCTGTTGGTCACTCTGTCGCTCTGAGGGGGGAAAACCTTTTGGCTTTTCACGCTGCTTTAATAAAATTGCTCACTTTAAGGTAAGTGTGTGTGTGTGTGTGTTTTGGGCCTCCTGATTCGATTTTCGTTGATTTCCCAGAAAATTCCGTCTGTGTGCCTTAGGGGACTTGGGGTTTTGCTGAATTTATATGCTAGAATCCTTGTTGTGGCGGCAATCTTTGATCAAATCGAAAGCGAAGCCATAGTATCCATAAGACACTTATGAATGTGGGTTACCTTTGAGGTATCTCAAGTATGAATACTTGGCCAGATAACCCAAAATTAAGTAGTTTGCGGTACATGTATCAATTTGAAGGGCCTAAAATAACGATGGATGTGTATAATTAGCTTTTATTACATTTTTAAAAGATAGAAAACTGCATAATTTTCCCGTGAAGCTTTAAATTTAAGAAGAAAACCTATAGGTAGCTCAAGCTGAGACTACCAGCTAGCTAGCATTGTAAATAACAAACAGTTGCAAGCTGTAAAAAACTGCAACTGCACAACATCAACAACACAACATTCTGCAACAGTCACTGTTGCCTGCCCATCAAATGTAGTCGTATCTGGGAGTATGTCCCCGGCTCGTATCTAATCTTCCCTGCCATGTATCCGCCGCCGTTTGTGAGCCAGGTAATTGCCCGTCCAGGAAAAAAAAAAAGAACATGTTACTCACTAAGGGCAACTGGCAACGCCATCCCCCAAGCATTTCGCTCTCCATTCCCCCTCGCTGATATCACAATGTCCCGGGCAGCAAACATTTATCGGCAGACACAAACACAGAGGACAAAAACCTTGTAAAAAGCGGATTATTTAAGGATATACAAATATTTAGAAATATACTAGGATATTTCAGAAATCAATGGAGTTCTTAAAACCTTTAAAATGTGTTTAAAAGTAAAGCTATGAAAATTTTAAGGTACTGAAATGAGTGAAAATTCAATTTTAGCTTAATTTTTGACAACTTTTAAAGGTATCACCACTTTATAAAATATGTAGAAAACTCTTTTTTAAACATTTTTTTCAGAATTGGTTAAAAAAATCTAAAAATTGGTAATTAAGTCTTATTTTCCATTTTTATTTTAAGGAAATTTTAAGGTTATATCAATACTTTTAAACAATATAAATCGATTTAATATTTATATATCGATTTGATCGTTGATAACTTTTTTTAAATTAAAAAAATATATACAGAATAATTTAATAGTTATTCAAAATTAATTTATTTCAATACAATTTTAATAATCACATCTCTTATATCTTTCCTTCACTTCCCTTTCTCTCAGTGCATCGGAGCTGCCAATGATGACGCCGAAGTTGAGTTGGCAGGCAGGCGTCTCGTCGCGTCCGCCATGCTGTCAACGCCATGCCGCCTAACGGTTTATTTGCAAAGCGTTCAAACTGTCAAAATGGCGTGCGGTGCGCGCTTAGCCATAAAAAAAAAAAAATACCTAAAGTAAAACCCCAAAAAACAGAAACACAAACTGAAACCCAAACTGAAACTGAAACAGAAACAGAGCAACGACGTCAGTGAGTCAATAATGTAATTTTCTCGTTTGATATTTCCACTACACACACACACACACACACACAGAGGCAGGGAAAAGCAAGGAAATGAGGAAATGAGTTGAAGGCAATCCCTTAAATGAACCCAGGCAGCATTCCTGAAAAACGATTTCAACTAGGTTAAAGGGCAGGTAAATAACTACAAAAAAAAAAACACAGAACAAGGTTTGAATTTAAGAAGACTTTTTGGGAATTTTATAGAAATAAAAATAGGAATATATATATCATAAAATCCATGAACTTTCAAATATTTACATTAAATTGAAGTCACAAAATATAAAAAAAAATAATTTTCTCAAGATCTTAAGATGGTTTCTTAAATTCTCAAAATATTTATTACAAAAAAAAAAAAAAAAAAACAACAGTTTAAAAATAAAATTCATTAGCCAAGTTAATCACACTCCAGGTCATGCATGTCCATTCACGTTTTCCACCACACTTGATGATTGCAATATCCGAGTGTGAATGCGAATGTGTCTGTCCAAATGCATTATTGTCGGTTTTTGCGGTCGACCGCAAACACAATTCATTCTAATTTCGAAATGGTCTTCAAACACGATTGACAGTTTGTCGGTTGTGAATTGCTTTACAGAACAAATAGCTGTAGTAGTGATGGAAATACCCAGTAAATTCATAAAAATATTTAAGGTTGATTTTCCCCAAAATAAATTATGTATATAAAAACAATATCAATAAGGGATTTATTTATTTTTCTTTTCTCTTCCCTAAAGCCTTTCTAATCGGATATATGTATGTATATTTATCTTAATCAATCAACGATGGGACTATCAAAACGATTTCGATTATAGCATATTTAGCACAAAAGCTGCTGCTGGTGCGAAAATGTCACAACAAAAAAACAACAAAAAATTACGCATACGCCCTGGGTTCATTCAGTGGATGGCACAGCACGACATCGCCTGAATAGCTCTACTCGAAGCGAGGTGAACCGAACCGAGCCTCACCGAATTGACGGCCTTAACTCGATTAATGCATAATACAATGCGAACCATAATTGTCACAGTGCCAGTGAAAATGGTGGTCATCCGAATGGATATGGAAATTGAAATGGAAATGGGTATATGGAAGGTGGAATCGGAATCGGAATTGGAAGTTGGACGGGCTAAGGCAAACGGACAAGGGATGACCACAATGGCGGCGCTTTAATTAAACAAAATAATATGTAATTGGTAAGGTAATTCTCTGGGTCCCCCAAACCACCACCACCACCAGTAACATCTGGCACCTGCCGCAGTTCGTATTATACCCGAGATATTGTACCTTGTTTTGCCATTGCTGTTTTTTATCTTTGAGCTGCTAATCCTCAGCGATTTTTGATAATTTATGATAATTCAAGTTTATTTACTGCATACAAGACCATAAATTGTTACCAAGCGATTTCCCTTTTGGGAGATAACAGTAATTCCGGAACTGCTTATATTGTTTTTATCTATTGCAAAATATGGCATTGAATTCAGATTCAGAGATCTTTTTATTGGCTTTATTTCAGCTCATTAAATTCTTCTTACATTACTCTTGAATAATTTTTGATTTATACTTAAATTCTTAATAAAAAATAATATTTATATATAATAATGACTAATAACAAAATAATGACTAAGACTTGCGGAAACAAAGCACTCTTGAATGTATTGAATACCTCATGAATTTGTTATAATTTTGTACTGATTATTGTTGCTTTGAATAAAATTAACCATGGTTTAGCCTGTGCGATAATAAATTTTGTTTAACGGATAATATATTTTTTCGCAGTGCACTGATCTTAGTTTTTAATCGATATATTTGTGCCCCCGAGGAGAGTGTTTAACTTACGTATTTAATTAATTGGCTGCTGTTCTTGCTTTTTTTACGCTGCCCTATTGTGCCTGCTGTTTACTTTTGTTGTTTATTTTTGTTTGCTATTCGTGTGCTGTTTGTTTTTATTTGTTTTTCCCGCCTGGCGAATTTGGTTTGAAGAGCATTGCAAAATTCATGGTTTGAGCAGCACTCTCTTGTTCTCTTTCTCTAGCTCACTCTCTCGTTTTCACGTACTGTTTTTTTTAGCAAGTGGACACCTGAATGCTTTTTGTTGTTGCACTTTGTTTTTCTCACTACAAAATAAAAACGCACACAATACACAAACTTTGCAGCGCGATCGCGGTATAAATTTGCTTGCGACGAGAATGAATAGAATAAATTAAGAATGGAACAATAGAAAAAATGAAAATTCAACCTGTGCGGCAAACGAAACTGAAACCAAAACTGAAAACCAAAAACCGAAACACGTTGCCTTCCGTTTCGCCCACCGCTGCTCCTGCCCCCTCTTTTTCTGTCTCTCTCTCTCTCTCTTTGCGTGCCTGGCGTTCTTCCTCTCTCCTTTCCACTGTGTTTATCACAACTGCGTGTGGTTGTGCGAGCGGACTAACGGGAAAAGCTCAGAGGGACGACACTGACCAACTAAGAAAGAGGAATGAAAAGCGAAGAGTTGAGCTGAGAGCGGAGAACGCCAGAGAGAGCCAGCGGCGTTAATCTAAGTACGGTGGAGACCCAAAGAAGAAATCTCACAAAACAATAATACCCACACTGAAATGGTAATTTTTATGGATATTTAAATATTACAAAAATAAACAAATTAATTTGTATATACTGATATAATTTTAAAAATGTGTTGTATTCTATTTCTCCTAAAGATTGATTACTGTGTACTCTTCAAACGAAAACGAAAATGACAACAAAGCCCGTTGAGAGAAAGAGCCTCTCTCCTGCAATCTCTGGCTCTCTTGCTGGCGGTGCGTGGGTGCCAGTGTTGCTAGTTTAGCTTATATATTGCCGGGTACAATTAAGCATATTGCATATATTTAGCTTGTTTTAATGTTAATTTAGCAATATATGTACGTAGTAGTGATATGAACGAGCCTATTTTAATAATGTAAGGTTTGTCGGATTTGGTATAGCTTGTTTTTCAGCTATATTGAGCTTATTTTTAATCAGATTCTAGCTTGTAGCTTGCCATCACCTGACATCACTGGTGGGTGGTGATCGTGCGAGCGAGTGCAAATATGATTATTGTTCTTTGGCTCTTTCTCTCTCTTCCCCTATTACCTCCCATCCATGTTCGTGTTTGCCTGTATTGGCGCGATGAGTGTGCGACGCTGTAACGCCGTTCGGTTTGTTTGTTGTTGCAGCTTTATTGCACAATCCCATGCTGCCACCCACCGCCACCCACTGGACCTGAGCCATTTTGGCTCTCCCGCTAGCACTGCAGTCTCTCTATCGTTCGCTCGCAACCGCTGCAGGGCAAACAAACAAACAAACAAAAGGAGACGGCAGAGAAAAGTTTCTGATCAGAAATCGCACACTTGCTGTGCACCGAATTCAAACTAAGCGCCAACTGCAGCCACAGTGATCCCCCGATAATTAAACTCGAGTTGAAAAAAAAAAACAATATAAAATTGTTGTTACTTTTTTTTTGTTTCCAGTGCATTTTAAAGTGCGTGCGAAAGAAATGGGGGGATGGTGGGTGTATCGGTGCGAGTGGGAGGCAGTGCGAATTTCTGTTTGCTCTGTCGTTTTGCGTGTGTAAATTTCAGTGCTTCAATTTTATGTGTGTTCTCTCCCCTCCTTATCCTCCTTATCCTCTTTGCCACCTTCTCGTACGCTCATTCGTGTTAGCGTCGGCGTGCGCTCAAGTAAATTTCTTCTAATTTAATATTTTGTTTACATTATTTATTCATTTACTTATGTATTTGCGTACCTTCCTCTTTGCGCGGTTGTTTGTTTATGTATTTCACCTGTTCCCATCTCCCCGGCCCTCTCCTGTGCTTTATCACATTGCTCCACTGCTTCCCCTTCGTGAACGAAAAACAGCATACAATTCTTGGTATATTTTTCTCTCAGTGGGAGAGATTTCAATTTGAAAAACACAATCGCTATTCGAAAAAGGCACCTTCAAAATATTGACAATCGGGAATTTTAATTGATTATTTGTGGTAAATATTTACGAAAATAAATTAGCGGTATTTTTCTTCTATCTTTAAATCACTGTCGGATTTCCTTAAAAATAACAAAAAACGGGAAGGATATAAACAATATTTTCATTTAAAATGCTGGATCATTCTTTAGTGGAAAAAATGGTTATAAACAGATAGCTATTGGAACTGAATAAATAAATAAGTGTGGAATACCCTTTTAAAATATTATAAATGATTATTTATGATAGATAATTATTAATTATTTATAAATTATTATCTATTTTTCAGTGTACAGTGTTAAAATTAACAATAAAATTATTGTATTAAATTATCGTAAATTATTGAGCCGAAATATTTCACCTCTAATCCTCTGATTTATTTAGAATTAAGATTTATTTTCCAAAGTGTTTATTTTTCTTTTTTTAATAAAAAGAGCTTTGATTTCTTTCGTAAGAACTTGATGATTTTTCATAACAGAAAAAGGAGTCTGCTATGGGTTTTTTTTCAATAAACAATCATATTCATTTCATGAAAAATTTTCCTTAGAAATTGGATAATTCAACTGAAAGTAAGGACATTGTCATATTTCATTCCTACAAAAAAAAAACTTCATATAAACACCAAATCATACAAGTTTTTTAGAAACTGTCTTGTAACCCAAGCTAAGTTATACAAATAAATATATCTCAAATAATATTTACGTGGAAAACAGGTTTATTTTTTTTAAAGAAAAGTATTTAAAAAAAAAATTTTTTTTTCTAGGCATTTATTACCGATCGTAAATTATCATAAAAAACTACCCTGAATAACAAAAACATAAATAAATAAAATAAAATAAGGTTAATATAAGGTACTCCTTTTTTTTACGATATAACATCCTATAACAATTTTTAATATATTCAAAAATCGTAAAATTGCTGTGCCTTTGCATAAATAAGACAATAAATAAAATAAAAAAAATATTTTTGCCAATAGTTAGATAAGAAATTAAGCTATCCCCCCCTTCCAGAGCTAGGATAGAACTAAAGTAAAGTGTTCATATTAACATTAGACCCTTTGCCAGGATTTGCGAAATTAAAAGAGACGCCCAGAAGCACGCTTTAAATTTGTTTAGTTTTTTAATTTTTTACAACCCCCGCATACACACGCATGCACACATATTAAGGATGCAATTTTTGAATGATTTTGCCAATTCCCACTTACCTCCGCTCGTTTGTCTTGCTCTCCTTTTTTGCTGCTCTTCTTTGTTTGCCGCCTTCCTGTTTCTGCTCCTTTTCCTCCAGTTGGACTTCTCTTTTGCTGCCTTTTTCGCGCCTGTGTGTGCGTGTCTGCTTGTCTCGTCTGCGCCCGTGTTTGTGTTTCACTTTGATTCTTTTTGTTGATTTGTTGTTGCTGCTGCTTATGTTTATTTATTTACTTGTTGTATTTCTTTGGTTACTTGTTTCGCTTTTTGCACATTTTAAAATTAACACCGCTGAATTACCAACGAGAGCACAAGGAAAAAATGTTGAAAAAAACAACGCTATTGTTTACACGCGCGCAATTACAAAAATAAAATGTGTGTTTCAAGAATGAAAACCCAAAACAAGAGCGCAAAAAAGCAGGAAAAGGAGTGCAAAAAGCGCGTGTTGCGCTGGAATTTGATTTATTTCTTCTTCAACTTTCTTGCGCTTTTTGTTTTGATTTTCTTCTGCTGTTCGCCGCACGTTTTTGTCCCTGTTCCTTTTGGTTTTTGGTGGTTTTATTTCTCTTTCGGTTTATTGTTTATTGTTTGTTGCTGCTGCTGTCTGGCTGTGTTTGATGCAGTCGCCGCGCAGGGTACAAATTCGCGTCCGATTCACACCGAGTTCGCTGGCAGACAGTGATGTCACCTGAGCAAAAAAGCTCGATTACCCAAAATGAATAGCTAAAAAAGCCGAATTCCAAGGGAAAAAAGCTAAGAAAAAAATCTGATTTTTTAAAAATAATTTTTTGTTTCAATTTTAAATATAAAATATTAAATCGAAGCAGTTATGCTGCGTTTGCAATAACATATATAATTCATTTATTTTTCAATACTTTTCGTTTGACGCACATATAAAGTGCTTCTTCGAATATTCTTATTTGCCTATTTTTAAAGAATTTAAATATTTCAATCTATTACTACCCAAAGAATCGCATTTATTCGAATCGAATTCACAATTAAATAAAGTCTGCTTTAATTTTCTGAAAAAACTATAATTCCCGCTGCCTGCTGTTTTTAAATTTTCCCCGAAATCACACTATAAAAAAGCTTAATTTGACGGTAAAAAAGTGGGAATGACATCACTGGCAAGAATGCCAGATTGGCCAAAAACACCGTTCGAGAGGAGAGGAGCGAATGAGCGCGTGAGAGAGCGAGAGAGCTAGGGGAGAGAGAGCTTTCGTTGTGGCTGCGTAAAAAAGGTAAATAAAAAATATAGGATTTTAGGATAACGTTTCGAAAATTCACGATAATGATTTTTGATCTTTTTTTTAAATAATTTTTTTTAAATAAATGTCTATGAACTATAGAGAGCAAAGATACAAATCTAAACACATTAACAGTTTATGTTTGTTGTTATTTTTAATCAGATTGTTTTTTTTTTTAATATATTAATTAGAAAGCAAATAAAATAAATATTTGCAAAGCGGCACCACTACATTTTTTTTGGAATCAAAACTCCTTTTTCGGAGTGCGCTCTTTCGGACTTAAAAGCTCTACAAGATTCCAAGATTTTAGGCTTAAAATATGAACTTCAATTTGTAATAGTTGCTAATTTTTTGAAACAGCGCGCCCTAAAAAGCTCTCAGCAAAACCATCTGGCTGCTGTACACCCGCTATCTGGCAGCTCTTGCACGAAATGTCTATCGATAGCCTTCAACTGTCAGCTGTTTTTTACTTGCACAACAATTCTGCTGCAATATTTTTCCAGCGTTTTTAACAAATTTACTAAAATAAAATGCGGCTGACGAACGTTTTATTCAAGAAAGTGAAGAGCAAGTGAGTGAAATGAGCGTACTGACAAGATTATTGCCTAATTTTGCTCCCTTTGACAGACGCATTATGGTTGTGCTGGAAAGTGTGGTCAGCGGACATCAGTACAATGCCTTTCGAGATCGTTTAGCTGAAAAATTGGAGATAATACGCTTTGATCCTTATAGTGAGTATTACAAAGGGTTGAATATATTGAAACATACAAATTTATTTCATATTTCTTATAATTTCAGTTCAACAGGAGAGCCTCTACCGCGAACGCAAGAAAATTCGCAGCGCCTAGTCGAAAATACCCTATTTACGTTAATATTTGCACTAGAAGCTATGCATTTTTTTTAATAAATTTAAATTTTGACATTGATCTCTTGGTAAAAATGATTTATTTTAATTTAAAATTATTTTTTTTCTGGGTATTTCAACTAGTTTTATCGATAGCTCATGTGGCGGTGAGGCCAGATTCAGCAAAAGAGAACATTGGTCTCAAAAAGCTTAAAATAAATGGAATTATTTACTGCAAATTTAATTTGCATTGCATTTTTTAAAATTTTGTACTGTAATAATAGTTTAATAAACAATTTCTTCAATTTTAAATTACTTATTTTTAAATGCCTTTGTGATTATCGATTATCGATATCCGATACTCAACGCAAACAGCTGTTTAAACCGGCAAATTGTTAAAATTGTGAAATCTTGTGCATATTTTCTGGAATTATGTCCGATTCAGTAGAGGAAAATGGCAATAAAGAGCCGGAGACGGAACCCGGACCGGATCCGGAGCCCGAAACCGAAACCGACCCCAGAAAGCTGCTAGAGACAACGGCCGCCTGCCAGGAGGACGAGGACCTGGCCACCATTGTGACCGCCGAGGAGTATCTGATGCACAAGGACGTGGTGTTGCTGGAATACGAGAAGCAAATGTTCCTGGACACAGTGCATGCTGACGGCCTGCTGGTGTGCGCCAAGTAAGTTGAATAATTATTTAAAATAAATGAAATACTTTTTAAATTAAATATGGATAACAGAGGCCTGAGCTACGAGCGCGTCCTAATCAACATCCTGAAGGCCTACAGCGATGCGGGCAACCTAGTGCTGGTAATCAACAGTTCTGACTGGGAGGAGCAATACTTCAAGTCTAAAATGGAGGCCAAATATGTGCACGAAGTGGCCAATATGGCCACGGAGAGGTGAGCACTAGAAGTCTTTCAGAAAACCCCCATTAATATGAAGTTATTTCTCCCTCTCGCTCTTTTTAGAGAACGCGTTTACCTGGAGGGTGGCCTGCAGTTTATAAGCACCCGCATCCTGGTGGTGGACCTGCTCAAGCAACGTATTCCCATAGAGTTAATCAGCGGCATTATTGTGCTCCGTGCCCACACCATCATCGAGAGCTGCCAGGAGGCCTTTGCCTTGCGTTTGTATCGCCAAAAGAATAAAACTGGCTTTGTGAAGGCTTTCTCCAGCAGCCCCGAGGCCTTCACCATTGGCTACTCCCATGTGGAACGCACTATGCGCAATTTGTTTGTGAAAAATCTATACATTTGGCCCAGATTCCATGCCACTGTCCGTGGTTCCTTGCAACCTTGGCAGGCGCAAACCATTGAGCTGCATGTCCCGCTCAGCCCGAGCATGACCTCCATTCAAACGCACATTTTGGATATAATGAACTTTTTGGTGCGCGAAATAAAGCGTATCAATCGAACTGTTGACTTGGAGGCGGTCACCGTGGAGAATTGTGTCACCAAGAAGTTTCACAAGATTCTGCAGGCGCAGCTGGACTGCATTTGGCATCAGCTCAACTCGCAAACCAAGCTGATTGTGGCGGATCTCAAGATTCTAAGGAGTCTGATGATGTAAAAACAAACTTTTCCTTTTTAAAAATTCATTCTAAACTTGTTTTTTGTTGTAGATCTACCATGTATCATGATTCGGTGAGTGCCTATGCCTTGATGAAACGCTATCGCAGCACAGAGTATGCTTTGAGCAACTCTGGTTGGACTTTACTGGATGCCGCCGAGCAGATTTTCAAGCTTTCCCGGCAGCGTGTGTTCAATGGCCAGCAGGAATTCGAACCGGAACCTTGTCCCAAATGGCAGGCTTTGACTGATTTGCTTACCCAAGACATTCCAGGGGATATGAAACGCTGCAAGAGAACAGTTCAGCCCAAAGTGTTGATACTCTGCCAGGATGCACGCACCTGCTATCAGCTGAAGATGTATTTAACCCAGGGAGGAGCACGCTTTCTCCTACAGCAGGCTCTGCATCATGAGGTGCCCGTGGGCAAGCTGAGCGACAAGTATGCAAAGGAAAGTCAAGCCAATAAGATAAATCCGCCTCCAACCAAGGCAACGAAATCGGAGGCTGCAGTAGCCACTAGTTCCCAACCCCCCGCTGGTTTGGATGAGCTGGCTCAGCTTTTGTCTGATGCGGAGGCCTCAGCTGAGTCCCAGCGCTTCGAGGAGAGCTACATGCTGACCATGACCCAGCCCGCTGAAAGGGAGAAGCAGCAACCCCAACAACAGCTCAAAACCGATCCAGATGTATCTATTTTCGAAACCATACCAGAACTGGAAGAGTTTGATGTCACAGCTGCCTTGGAGCTGGTTTCCCATCAGCCTTATATATGCCTGCAAACCTTCAAAACCGAACGAGAGGGTTCTATGGCTTTAGAGCATATGCTAGAGCAGCTGCAGCCCCACTATGTGATTATGTACAATACAAATATAACGGCTATACGCCAGCTGGAGGTCTTTGAGGCACGTCGTCGCCTGCCAGCAGTGGAGCGCCTAAAGGTTTACTTCCTCATACATGCACGCACAGTGGAGGAGCAGGCCTACCTGACCAGCCTGCGCAGGGAGAAGGCGGCCTTTGAGCTGATCATTGATACCAAAAGTGTGAGTGGGTTTTAGTGTGTTAAATTATTTGAAAATCTTGCTTATTTTTGTTTGTTTTTTCCAACAGAAAATGGTCATACCCGAGTATCAAGATGGCAAAACCGACGAGGCCTTTGTCTTGTACAAAAACTACGACGACGAACTCTCCAGGGAAGACAATGCCAAGAGTCGCCAGGCTGGTGGCCAAAAGGCCACAGATGCCGCTTCCAAGCAAACACCCAAAATCATTGTGGATATGCGTGAATTTCGCTCAGATTTGCCTTGTTTGATACACAAAAGGGGCTTGGAGGTTTTACCTTTAACCATCACCATCGGTGATTATATCCTAACACCCGAAATCTGCGTGGAACGTAAGTCCATCTCCGATTTAATTGGTTCCCTCAACTCTGGACGCCTGTACAATCAGTGTGTCCAGATGCAGCGTCACTATGCCAAACCTATACTCCTCATCGAATTCGATCAGAATAAACCCTTTCACCTGCAGGGCAAATTCATGTTGTCGCAGCAGACGAGCTCAGCCAATGCGGATATTGTCCAGAAACTGCAGCTTCTTACATTGCATTTCCCAAGACTCCGTTTGATATGGTCACCCAGTCCTTATGCCACTGCCCAGCTGTTTGAGGAACTAAAATTGGGCAAACCCGAGCCGGATCCTGTCCAGGCAGCTGCCTTGGGCAGCGAGGAGCCAACGGCGGGCGAGCAGTTGCATTTCAATAGCAGCATCTATGATTTCCTGCTCAGATTGCCCGGGATTCATACACGGAATATACATGGCCTGCTAAGGAAGGGCGTCAGCCTGCGGCAATTGCTGCTGCGTAGCCAGGCGGAGCTGGGGGATCTGTTGCAGTCACAGGAGAGCGGCAAGCTGCTCTATGACATTCTGCATGTGGCCCATCTGCCCGAGAAGGATGAGGTGGCCGGCTCAACGGCTTTGCTGGCGGCGGGCAAGCAATTTGGCGCCGGTTCGCACAATCGTTTCAGGAAGGCGGCAGCCGAGGCGCGAAGGGGGAGGCGATAGGGTGAGTGAGAGGAGTAAGAGGAGTCAAGGAGGAGTGAGAGAAGGCAGAGAAGCATCAATATATGTATATATGGCGCGAAATTATGGAAAATATTTTTTAAACGTTGCAATTAACTCGCCAGGGGAATGGGGAGCAGCAGCAACAGCAGCAGGTTGCAGGTTGCAGGATGCAGCTGTTGGTGTGTCTGGCCGGCAGACAACGTTGACAAACGGGAACAGCGCTGACCGCTGGGGATGCAGAGGCATGCCGAGTGCCTGAAAATCAATTTTTAATAAATTTTTAATTGCCACGCAAGCAGAGTCTCTGAGTGGAGCGCCTGCACCTGCAGCCCAGGACCCAGTGATTAACGGAATTTTTTATTTTTTTTTAACTGGCAAAAAACCCGAAAAAAAACAGCATAAGATTCCCGCCAGAGACTTCATTACATTATGTATTTATTTTCTTTTTTGGGAAAAATGTCCATCAAATTACTCTTTAATTAATATAATTATAGGTTTCCTTGTGAAATATATATTTAAAAAAATCTTGAAATCCCTAAAGTTTTTCTGAAAAATTCTAAAAAATTTCAGCCTCTATTTTGGATTCTGTGCGAAATTTCTAAAAACCGCAATTGCCATGGCCAATTGAAAATTAGAGGCAAAAGCGGGGTAAATTGGCATTCAGATTGGAATAGAGAATAGGAGAGTGGAATAATGCAATTTTCAGAGGGGTGAAATGGAGTGAGTAGAGCGGAGCATGGGGGAGGGGGGTTATGGGTACATTATCCCCTATGAATTTTTGGAAATATTCTAAATTTTTTTCTAAACTTTATTTTTTATTTTTTTGTTTTTTCTTAAATTAAAGTTAGCTGCATAAATTTTAAGAAGAATTTTATATTTTTTTATATTTGATAATTTTATTTTTTTTTTTTTTTTAATTTTTTTAGCATGTTTTTTACTTTTAATTTTTCTGTAGTTTGTTTTTTTTATTGAAATATACAAATTTTAAAATAAATGTTTTTTTCTTTCAAAAGAATTATATTTGAAAAAAGAGAATCTGAATATATATTGTCTGTTTTGAGTGACTTTTTATATTTCTTATACTTTTGTGTAGCTATTTTTTATATATTTAGTTTTCTGTAAATGGTTTTTATAATTAGAAATATTTAAAAATAAAGATAATTTGTTTTTAATATTCTTTAAAGTAGTTTTTTATCTTTCTAATAATATCTAAAATATATAAAGAATTTTTTTATTTTTTTAAATTATTTTACAGGGCATCTACTATTCGTTGTGACCACTTTTCGCCACTTCTTTTCGTATTTGCTTTTGGCTCTCGCTTTTAGTGCTCCGCTCTTGTCCGGCTCATTGGGCAAAGCGCGCTTAGAGCGTGTTTGTGATTGTTGGCATTATCTGCGGGTCCGAGCGCCACACCCACCCCATCCACCCACCGCTCGTGGCTGCTAGGGAATCCCCCGATTCGTTTGTGTGCCACACACGTACGTGTCTGTCTGTGTTTGTGTTAGTGTCTGTGTATTTGCTGCATACTTTTCAGCGCAAGTGAATCTAAAACTTGGCAAACGTTTCGACTTTGGACTTTTCGACTTTCGTGCTCGTGGACTATGGACTCCTGGACAGGCTGGACAGGCTGGCTGGCTTTTGTGGCCTCCAATTCGATCCAAAAGCATATTTGCCAATTGGCTGCGCTTTGTGCGAAAATGCCAGAGGGAGCAGGGGCTTCCCCCCTCGGAAAAACACTGGGGCAAACTGTTGAAAATGGAGGCCGACCGGGGGCACAATTAAAACTCCATTACAGCTGGACTCCTTCGGCCCTTGATTGTCCTCTCCCATGCTAACCAGAGAGCTCCTGCGTCCCATTTCCCATTTCCCTTTCCGCTTTCCCAGCTGGCCGCAACAAACGCTTCAATCAAGCGCCAGGACAATGGCCAGAACCTGAAGCGCAAAAGCCCGAAAACATTTGGCCCCCGCTTTTACCCGATTTTCCCTGCTTTTCTCCGATTTTCTTTATTTTTTTTTTGCTGTCCCGCCCGATTCCCACAATGACAACGTTAATTTTCACTCACCAGACCCCAAAATGGATCTTTGATTTTCGGGGTATTTCCCTTTATTTTTTTTGTGGTGGTTTTGTAACTATTTTTTTTGTTTTTTCTTTCTATCTTTTTTTGTATATGAAAGGTTTAATTCTGGTTGATTTTTGGGAGGCGGTGTAAGTGTTTGTTGTCCGGAAAATGGGGCAGACATTAAGCCCTTAAAATCGATATTTAAGGTCATATTTTTTAAAGGCATTTACTTGGTTACTTAAATATTTAAAAATATAGAAAATATTTTAACAAAAAGCTGTACAAAAAGTCTTGTTAATTTAAATAAACAAAGCAATTTTTTAATATTATTTATTTTTAAATGCATAATCTTCAAGTGTTCACCAATTAATAATCTTTTAGCCACAAAATCAGCTTAAAGGCCTTCCCAAAAACATTTTATAAACAGATTAAATTTACGCCTTGGCTTTGCCATAAATAAATCAGCTTATGAATTCATTTAAGTCTTAATTGCGGAATGTGTTGTGTGTCTGTCTCAAATGAAAACTTAAACTAAACACAAAACAAAGTCAGTGGAGTGCGAAATGAAATTAGCTGAAATTCCACAAATTTAATTGGACAAAGTTGTGTCCGCTGTGTCCGTTGTGTCCGTCTCGCTGGCTCGTATATAATTCGATAATTGATCGGAATTAATTGCAAACTTTTTGCATACTTCATTATCATCCTGCCCAATTATAGCCTCCCCCACTCGGGTGATTGCCTGGGAAGTGGGGGAATGGTCCAAACAAATTAAAAGGCCGCACCGTTAACCACAGGCATCATTAAATATATCCAAGCATGGGGATGGGGGGGGAATGGAAAAAGTATCTGGAAATTGGCATTTGAACCTGTTCTCCATGAAAATCTCATCAGTTTCCCGAGTTGAGTTTGTAGTTCATCCTTTTTAAGAGATTTTCCAGCTAAATATAATCACGAGTCCTTGAAGCAATTATTTACAACTTGGGAGGTGCTCCTACCAGTGAAAATTCATTAGTCAAAGTCAAAGCCAAGGCAGGCATCGATTTTTGCTTAATTTCGTTAAGGCAGGACATGGCCGTAGGAGTTGCACGAAAATTTCCGGGGCAATTTGACACATTTGAGGAGAGTAATGCCCAGTACTTAGTATCAGTTTTGGGGGGTGTGGAAAATGCAGTTAAGAAATTCTAACACACACTTGAGATGGAAATGCCTTTGACTTTGAATGAGTCACTGCACTGGGAGAATATATGTGATTTCAGGAATTTTTTGGTGATAAACAAAGAGAGTATATATATTTTTTTATATAGCTTAAGCTGTTAAATAATATGAAAAATATTTAAAATAATATTTAAAGCTTATTTAAAATATAAAAAAATTATTTACAAGCGAGCTTCTATTGTGGTGATCAGTGATGGTACTTTGTAGCGATTAAAAATCGATAAACTAAGCAAAAATGTACAAAATCGAAATACTCGAAAGGGGAATCTTAATTTAAACTTCATTATATTAAATTTAATTAGAATAATAACTTAATAATTATACCAAAATGTCTTAAATAGCTGTAGAATATTTATTTAATATTTATAATTAATGTATAAGAAAATAAATCGATAAAAAGAAGTAATCGAAAATAATCGAAAGAGTTTGGTAAACTTTGAAAAACTAAATAACCCAAATTTATTTAGAAATATATATAAAAATATATTTATAAATTAAAGTATATATTTTTTAATTTTTAATAATTATAAAATGTAATTGAATAACCATAAATCTAAATATTTATAAATTTATTAAGAAAATAAACAAACACAAAATGTGTTAACCTAAGGCTAAAACCTTCACTTACTTTATAATTTTTTTATTTATTTAATCTTTAAAAATGTTTTTTTTTATTATCTTTGGGTTTTTCCTTATTTTCCCCATTTCCTGCAATTTTCCTAACCCCCCTAAATGCACTCGAGCCGGCTTTACTACTCAAATACCAATACAAGTATATAGATTTTGTGCACCGAAGGGTATTCATTCAGTAGTTTCTGGCTTAAAGGTGGCCCGGGAAATGGGGGGAAAATGGGGAGGTGAAATGAAAACGGGGCGTGCCTTTTTCCAGGCGGGACTGCTTATCATAAATGACAAATCTGGAATGTGAATGTGAATGCGAATGCGAATGCTAAACGACCAACAACTAAATGGGCCAAAAGAGTCAGACAGCTCTCGAGTTCCGAAGGAGAATGGCTGCCTGCCTGGCTGCCTGGCGTTCCAATTTTCCTGCATTTTGGTGTAAATGTAAATGTAAACGATATAATCGCTTCAATCTTTACCAAAAGGGAGGTGGAAAATTGCTACCCAAGTGGAAAACAGAGAAACGGGAGCCACGAACCATAGACCAGGACTTGCCTTGTTAGCCTCTTGCCTCTTTAGCTTTTATTTATTTTATTTTTGTTTTTTTTTTTTGGTAATTCTGGCCAAAAATTGAGGGTTTTTCCCTCCCCAGTGTGCGATCGATGACTTCTGGCTGGAATATTAACCGGAAAGTAACCATTTGGCTTTACGCAAATTACCAGTTTTGTACAGGACTTGCTTTTGTTGGTAACAAAAACAGGGAGAGGAAACGTTAAGAAATGGTGTTCACATTTTTAGATTTTTAAGAAATATTTGGGAATATTTTTTGTTTAAGTTTGTGGGATTTTAAGTGAATAATTTACAATATCTAAACCCAGTCACCCTCTCCATTTTATTCACTTCCATTTCTATCGGCAGCCTTTTAACATCGGATTTTGGTTCCTGTTGGTTCCTGGGTCAGCTTGTCGGCTTTCGATGTCGCGTTATCAGTACACCGATCACATCCTGGAAGCCTTCAATGTCTTCCATCGATCCATGGAACTGGACGAGGTGGCCGGCTATGTGGCCGAAATGGAGGCCAAGTCCGTGGCCGAAGTACGCCTGGCAGTGGATAATACCCTAACAGCTGCCTGGCTACATGGCTTTCTCACCCGAGACGATAACCAGTTCACTCTGGCCTGTGGCTACTGGGATGATGTGCAGCGGGGAGCGGTGCAGGAAGGCAGCCGCCAAAAGAGGCACTCGGTCACAAAGTCAAAGTCTTATCAGTAAGGTTTCTTTTTTTATTTCTAACTCTGAAATTTATATTTTTATTTAATAATCTTGAAGCTTCACCATTTCAGAGAGTGGAGAGACAATCTCCGATGGTGCTGGCCTCCAGGATATGAACTATGGCGACCAAATACTGTCTGCCTTTGCGGTTCAGCGTCGTCCTCTTACTTTGGCCGACATTGTGAACTATGTGTCCATGGCCTCGAACAAAAGTCCAGCGGAGGTCTATGGGACAGTAAGATCTACCCTGGACTTGGCCCTAGCCCATGGGTTTGTGCACAAGCAGCAGGACCAGGCCTTTCTGCTGGCCAAGGAGCTGCAGCAGTCGCTTTAGTCCTTTTGGATTTTTGGTATCTAAATAAAAGAGTGAGACTTATTTTTAAATATAGAGTATATAAAGTAGAAAATTAAGCAGTTTCCAGGACGTTTATTCTGCCTGAAGAAGAGCTTAACCCGGAATAGTTTGTATTAGCACATTTAAGTAGAGACATTAGCCAGGATATGTCCGTCTCTTGGCTCTTTCACGATGTGTGTTTTTCCCAGAGAATATGAGCTGACATCTGGGCTTTATTTTGCCCCGTGTCACCAGGTGGTGTCCAGTCCCAGCTACCATGACACTTGTCCAACAAGTCTGGCTTCGTGTACATGTCTCCCGGTTAAGTGACCGCACTGGGAACCATTTGATGGTGACCCAGTTCGTATTGATTTCAGTCCAGGAACAGTCTGTTCAGTTCAGAGTGTGAACAAAGCACAAGCCATTGGCTTTTATTGTTTGCCAGCCGTCGGCCGGGGAGTATAACCCCCAAAAAGTCGGAGGGGGGCAAAGGACTCGGGACTCTGGGAGTTCCCATCGAGATGTGGAGACTCAGATAAGCTTGCACCTTTGCAGTCCCCAAATTGGGCTGTCAGCTGCCAGTGATTCTGTCGTTGGGCAGATGTGAGTGTGAAGTACACTGAGGGCAAAAAGGTAGTACTATTTATGTTTATTAGTTTTTTTTTCCAATTATTTTAAATAGTTTTATATTTCACTTCCTGAATAATTACCCATTTCCAAAACACCTCTCTCTTTCCCATATTTTTCTCTTCTTATCCCTTATTTTTCTCAGTGTAATGTGTATTTCAGGCGACTTGTGTGTTGCGGTTAAATAGGAACTGCGCCAACTTATAACGCAGCCAACTTCTACTTCCGTTTCCGTTGTCGTCGTCGAGGCGAGGGACATTCCAGTGTTTCAACCACCCACATTTTACACCCACCCAGACTTACCACCCACACTCACCCCCTCCGGTGTGTGTCCCTTTTCGTGTCCGTGCCCTTTGGCATTCGCCGAAACTATTAAATCACATTTTACGAGCGTTAAGTGCACAATTAAAAGCATTTCGTTAATGTGGAAAATGTGGCGCTGTGCTGTCTTGGCTTGGACTGGCTTTCCTCCCCCATTTTCCCACCCCCCTTTTTACACCCCCTCTTTCATTGTGATGTAATTAAATTTTCAGCTGCCTTTGGCCGCGCATTGCTTTGCGTGCACCTTGGGGGCCAAAAGCTTGGCCGTTGTTGGAATAACATTGGATTTTTGGCCATGATCCTGTGAAGGAAAGAAAGAATAAAAGGAAACCCAGGACAACGGGTCTCCGGTCTCCTGAGTGTCCTTGTTGCAGGCAAAAAACAAACTAAATCGATTATGGTTTGATGTAAATTTTCTTCCTTCTCGGAACAGCCATTAGAAGGTTGTCCTTGGGGCTAGGAGATTGTTCTTTAATCTCAGTTTAAGCTAGGAAAATCTGTTGATTGGATGGAAAATATCAACATCAAGTGTAATTTTAGGAGAGAGAGAGACGGAGAGAGAGGTTTCCTTAAAACCATTATCCTAGGGCATAAATTACATTTAAACTTTAAACAATTATCTAAAGATAAGAGCTTTAAAAATTATATATTCCTTAAAAAGTAAAGAATTAAAAATATAATAATAATAAAAAAACTATTCAAATAGAAGCTTAGGATTCCCAACGGGTTTAAGCTTAGATTGAAGGTAGAGTACCAAGAAAACAAAACCCACTTACGTCTCCAGGCTCCCTTTAGTTTCCAGCCTTCATTAAGAGTAAAACGCAAACTAAGTAAGTAATTTGAGCCTTAGTAGGCGTGTGAAGAGCACACTTAAAAAAAAAAGAAGAAGGGGGCATGTTGCTCACCCCCACAGCAAACACCCCTCGCATCACGCATCCGCCTAAGTGCGGAAGCATGTTCAAGTGTGTTGGAAATGGAAAGCAATGTGTTACTTTTTTTTGCCTTCTTTTTTCCCGATTTTTCATTTTGCTTCTTTATTTCCTTATTTCCCCCTGCATTTCCTTGGCATTTTGTGACGTCACGCCCCTGCTGTGGGCGTGGCCGATTCGCGGACGGATGACAGTTGACGGTACAAAGTAGCGCTGTCTTGTCCTTGTCCTCCGTTCCAAAAAAAAAAAAAAAAAAAAAAATTAAAAAAGGGACGCCCCTAGCAAAGTGAAGGGTAGCAAGGTAAAGGGTAAGCGGAGCAGAGGTTTTCTCCAGGAGCAAAAGGACATACCGGGAATTTGACATTAAGCGGGGGAAGTTTTTAAAGTTTTTAATTTAATATAAAATATTATAATTTTAAGGTTTAAAAAATATATAAAAATGTTTAATGTGTATATTTTAATATGTAAAAAACAAACAACTGTATATCTCCTAGGTAATATCGATATACCCTAAACATTTCTGTATTTATCGATAAAATAAAATGTCTTTTAAAAATTAATATGCTTATTTGTATGCAAATAAACTATTTATTATTATTTTTAAACAATTTCTGAGCAAAGCTTATACATATATTCAAAATTGTGTCTAATTTAATATCGAAATTAATCGAAAAATATCTTTAAAATATAGATAATCATTTTTTGTGTAAATCGTTACAGTATTTAAGCCTTTTAAAAATTGAAATGCTTATTTTTTTATATAAATAAATTCCTAAGCATATTTTTATATAAATAAAATTCAGAACAAAGGTTATATGTACGATATTCTGTCCAATTATATATCGAAAATAATCGAAAAATATTTTAGAAATATAAATAGCTGCTAGAAAGTAACCACAATATTCACTTCTTCCTGAAAAAAAAACCCAAAATACAAAACCCCCCTCGCTGCAACTGCAATGGCAGCATATAGCCTCAAGTTCCGTTATTCTCGCTCTTTACTTCTGCTTTCCCTTCTTCTCCTTTTTTTATTGCGAATATGGCAGCGCTTCCGGCGCTGGCCCGATGGCCTGCTGTGTCCTTTGATATTCGGGGCTTGGAGCGAGGCAACCCGAACCGGAAGGAGAGAGTGTGGAACCAGTTTTTTTTTTTTTTTTAAGGCGAAACATTTAGTTTGTTGCATGTTTGGACATGTTGCTCGCTGCTCACTGTACGTGACATTTTGCGGAAATGGAAACGGAGCCCCGACTAAGCCAAAGATGAAGAAATTCCATCTTTTTAAGTCTAGCTCCGAGCCCTGTGCCAGCGAATTCTTATAATTTGCATTGAAGTTTTGATTGCCACAAAGAGACACAGAGAGAGAGAGGGAGAGCATAGTGCGAGCGGGAGGGAGCAGCAAACCGGAAACCGGAAAGGGCCGATGACAAATGCACGCTCCTTCCCAAAGGAAATGGGGGAAATGGAAAACAAAAAGCGCCAAGACAAAGGAATCACACAAAAATCCAGTGATAAGATGCACTTGATTGCAAATGCATTCGATATTCTTGTAAATCTCTGACATAAATAAATGTAAAAATTCATAGGAACTATGGTTTCATAATCTGTGTATTAAAAATATCTGAAAAGTATATTTCTATCATGTATTTTTTAGTTTCAAAAGACAAGCAATTATATTTGCAATTAAATTGAAATCTTCACAACTTTTGCCTCAACTTTATACCAACTTGATGCTCTGGCTGAAAGTTCCTAAAAACTTATTTCAAGGTCTCTATCTTTTTGCATGGAGCTCTTGGTCTTCCATTAACCTCTCCTTGCATGGGATATCAGCAGCAGCATAAAAGCAAATTAAAGTTTGCCTTTGCCGGACATCATCAAAAAGGTAAGTTTATGTGCAATCACGGACTGCCATAAACCCTCTAAGTAATGGAGGGGTACCGTTTCCGAGGAAACAAACAAACCCACACAGAGGCAGAGGTGAATCCTGGATAGAAGATGATTTTAATCGAAGGGATCAGATGGCACACGACCGGATATAAAAAAATAGGTAGCCAGTGGATGTCAGTGCTGCAAAAAAAAATTTAATCAATTCGATGGGCAAAAATATTCATTTAAAAAATATTTCGAAATATATTTGAAGAATAAATATAATTAAATAAATATAAATATAATAAATTTAATTTTAATAAAATAATAATAAACTAAAAGTCCCAATAATTCATTTTAAGACTCCTTGATTTCTTACAATTTGAAATCATATTTAAAACGCTGAAATATCAGCTTAAAAGTATGCTTTAAAAATGTAAATTTGCATAATAAAATTTGAAATATATATTTTTTACTTTAGACATATATCTTCCAATTCAAAATCGTAATGAAAACACTAGATAAAAAGCCTAAAAGTATGCTTTAAAATTTTTAATTTGCATTCAAAATATTGTTGTATGCCTTTAGAATTTTTAAATATATATTTTTATAGTTTCAGCTAAATAATAATTATATTTAATTTACTTTATACATCATTGATATCTTTAAAAAGAAAACCTTACAAAAAATCGCTTGATTGTCAGCCGAAAAGTATGCTTTAAAAATATGAATTTGCTTTAAAAACATTTTTCAGGGAAAATAACCTGTTTTAGCTAGAAATAGAAACCCTGCTCAGCATCTCTCCTACTGGGCCTCCTCGTCCTGTATTTCCGTCTTCGTTTAGTCCACAGCTTCCACTCTTGGCATTTCGTGTCTGGATTGTCCGGCGGTGGCTAAGTCTTAAGACCCATAAAACCCATGTAGCATAACTAATAGGTCTTTGGCCAGGAGTTTTGTTTATTCTTTGCCCTGCCACAGTGCTTTTGCTTCTGTTTCTGTTTCTGCTTGTGATTCTGCTTTTGCTTTTGCTTCTGCTTCTGCTTTCCTGCTCGATTGCAGTTCAATGCACGAGCGTTGAAATTGTTTTCATTATTTCATTTCATTTGGCTTGTGCCATGTGCACCTGTGAGTTATGGCCCGAAGCCGGCTTTTGCCCAGGTATACCAGCATTTTGGGGGGGAGGGGAGGCGGTACAGGGATTAAAGCCAAGCTGCCAACACGCTGCACACACCCCCTCTCTGGAAAAGTCATCGGAAAAAGCTCCTTCTCCTCCTCCCCCTCTTTGCTCGGCGGTGCATGCTGTGGCAAAA